ATGTGCAGTAACAGATTTAATGCAAAAATAATTAGATACGGCTTTTCTGATATGATTTAATTTGGTGCAGCAGTAAATCTTTCGATCTGTGTAACATCAATTCGCCCTATCGTCTAACTCTCACTCTCAGCAAGTCCTGGCACACGGTTGGCTTAAGGTATAAGAGGTTTTGTTACTTAACTGCCTTTCTGAAGCAGGTATTTAACGTTTTGTAACGGTTAGGTTTAAGTTTTGTATTCCTTGCTATTTCAACTTTGTTAGCCTCAGATGATGATGACAAAAGGAAAAGCGCTACCTGACAAACTGATGATTCTGCACTCATCAGAAAGCGAAAGATTAGGGCCTTTGAGTGAACAGCGATTTAGTTCTAAGTCCATATTGGCATAGATTGTTTCTCCACTCGAAAAAAAATATGTAAATAGTGAATATGATAACAGTCTGGGTGTAAAGCTGTTCCCAAAACTGGTACTTGTCATTTATAAGCTTCTGCTAATTCGAATCTGCTTCTGGAACGTGGAATAGTTCTTTTAGTAGGAAATATTTGGATTTCATGGGTAGGGACATCGCAAGGATTTCAGTTGGAAATTGACCAAAGAACTCGAATAGCGAAAAGAGATAATCAGCCATATATTTTTTTATTCGTCTTGATCCAACGAACTTCTGCTCCTGAATCAAGTTTACTGCTAGAAATATGGCTATCCAGGCTTTCAGCATAATATGGCGAAAAGGTGAGTAGTCTCTGGAATATGAATAATTAAACCGTGCGCCATAAATGAAAGAACGCATTTCTGTATGGTTCAATCTTGGCAGGTAGCATCGATACCTTGATCCTGTTTCAGTTTTTAGTGAGTGCTATCTGGATAAGGAGTCATTCAATGGATAATTCGCATAATCTAAGGTATTTCCAGCGAGCCGCGATTTCTTTGATTCCGGCATCGACTGCCTATCCATAATGCATAGTTTTGAAGCGCATTCCGCCGGACAGTGACAAAAGACATAACGCCCGATGCATCAATCTAAAGTAAGCTTCTTCTTGCCTGGAAAGATGACTGGACCTGCGTAAATGAGTATAAGTTAGATGTCTGAGTGAACAATGTTTGCAATACCGTTGGGGATGCAACGGCGTTCTTCAGACGACGTACATAATAGGACGCCTTCCTGATCTCCGGCTGGAAACAGCCGCTATGCGGACAGACATAAAGCACATATTTTCTTATCCTGTATCTGGTGAGGCGTCACATTCCGAGTAATCCGCAAAAAGGATTGGCACATTCGACTGACTTCGAATGGTTTTAGAAAAAGTAGCATTTTCATGCGCTTCAATGTTCTCGACAGTTTGAATTCGTTCAGCGATGGCTAGATCATCCGCATATTTTACACTAATAATCGGATGGTCAGTGCGACACGAATTAGCGTACGGATTGAGCGTTAGTGGATAAAGTACTGAGACCTAAAAAATTTCAAGGTTGCTACTGGGATATGAGGAAGATTTATTGCTCATTGAGATATACTGATGAGAAAGAGCCTTTGACAATTCCAGGATATCAAACGGAGTAATGCAAGCTTCTGCAACAGCTTCCTGCCATCAATCCAGAGGTCTTCGTACGGGCTATTTATGGCCTCTTGGAACGCAGTCTAGTGTCCCTCTGCTCCAGTCATGCTAATATCTTCTTGCGAAGTTTTCAGCACATTTCCACTTTTAAAATTATTATCTACATACATAAGCTGTTCATGTTAGCCGGCTAAAGAAGGTATATAGTTTTGAGGGTATAGCAAAATCAGTTGTGAAGGTTACTGCGCATGCAGGAAAAGTCAATAGGCTATTCAGAAGGTTTTACTGCGAAATACTAAAAGAACTTGTCAATCTTTTCGCCCAGAACCCGCTCGATGACGCGATAACTTTGTGACACTGAGCTTCCACTTCCTCGTTCTCGTCTAAACACAAAGTCAGAATGTACCATATACAAACAGTAAACTGTGATACTTTCGATGAGCTCAGCGATGAAGGGAATCGAGTGAGGCACCA